GGAGTATCTTAGATGGCTGCTCACAGGCTTTTAAGACCCCAGACGCTACTCACCAAGGTAGAATGTAGAACATTTTCTTTATAAACTATGTTATGCCAGTTGAGCTAGATGTTCCCCACAGCCCTCTGCCCAGCAATTCAGTCCCTCAGGGAGTTTGGATGTGTCTATGGAGGTTCCATGACCTTGCCTTGCACAAGTTGTGCTGGCTTCCCCAGTATTGAAGAACATAATTTTTGAATGAAACATAACTGAGTTTTAAATTCTAACTCATGGTTTGAAATTCTGGCTCTATCTACCACTTAGTATCAGAAAAACCCTGACAAATTACTAACATCTCTGAGCCTTAGTCATCTACAAAGTAAGAAATACTAACTACCCAGCATTGCTGATAATGCTTAAGCTTCAATTGCTTTCTTTACTCAAATTTGAAAGCCTGTGCATCTTCGGGGGAGTGGTAATTAAAGTTGAAGAAATTACAAAAGTCCTTCCATATTTAGCTGAGAATTTAAATGTCTGTATGGTACTTCGGGGCCCTGGTGGCACAACAGTTAAAAGCTCTGCTGCTAACCGAAAGGTCAGCAGCTCGAATCCACCAGCCACTCCTTGGAAACCCTATGGGGCAGTTCTACTCTGTCCTATGGGGTCGCTATGAGTCAGAATCGACTCAACAGCAATCGCTTATACGGTACTTTAATTTCAATCTAGTTCTCTAGAAAATATCATTTGATGTATTAATTTCATAATATAAATGTTCTGATAGGATGTAGGAGCCCTGGTGGTGCAGTGGTTAAGAGTTGGGCTGCTAACCAAAAGGTCTGCAGTTTGATCCACCAGCTGCTCCTTGGAAACCCTATGGGACAGTTCTAATCTGTCCTATAAGGTCGTTATCAGTCAGAATCGACTCGACGGCAAGGGGTTAATAGGATATAATGAACATCAATTTTCTTTATTTATAATTAGTAATAACTAATCATCTCTCAGATATACAGTGAAACCTGTAAGAGCTGGAACTCAACGGGACTGCCTTGTTTTTCTTGGTCTCACAAGTTTTGGCCTTTGATAGGGTGAAGCCTTACCACTTTTCTATCACTATTAGTGGACAATATTTAGGTTTTCCTTTTCTGACAAGCTTCTACCTTACACAGGTTCCAGCTTTTGCAGATTTTACTGTATTAAGTTGTGATGCTGAATCAGTCACCAGTTCTAATAGAATTAAAACCTTAATTTGGACTAGATCTCACATTAATATTCAAACATGCAATAATAGACCTAAAGAAACTGCCACTGTCTTTCAAAGTGAGAGGTACTTGTTTCCTTAAATCTGTTGACTATAAAATTTAAAACTGGAGAGGGTGACCGAAATCAACTAGTTTGAACCCCCTTATTTAATTATAGGAGAAATGAGGCACAGAGAGGTTAACACAGCTTATTAGACACTCAGATGCTCTGAATCCTAGAATTGTACTCTTTGTACCACATCATAATATCACCATTATTAAATTCAATATAGAATGCACTAATCCCTAAGTTCCTTGTTGAGTTGGAAGGCATTTTAATAGGTTATCCAGTCCAATCACCATATTAAATAAAGACTGTATCTCTATTATCTAAGACACAAAGGTTTCTATTATAACGAAGCGTTAAACAAAGGCAGACTACTGTAGTTTCAGGTCTTGATGAACTCTGGAGCAGAGCTCTGTTGTTCTGGTTATTACAGCTTATTTATCTTACATAAGAAACAATCCCATGATGCAACATGAGATTTCTATAATACATATAACAAACAATATATAACTTTCTAAACTGGAAGAACGAATAACTTGGTGCTTAGTAACTGGCCATTTCAGCTTGTTTGCTTTACCTTCAAGGTAATTACCATTTTTCTGTATTTTCAATATTCTAACCCTTTAAACTACTAATTTAACCATCAAAATCATTCACTAATACTCATAAACAATAATTTAAAAAATTCAGGATCTTGCTAATTATCTAAATTTTGGGAATTAGCTCTGTTTCATCCCAACAAGTGAAATCTAAGAATATCAATATGAATATATTGTCAATATTCTAACCTTTAAAATACTAATTTAGCTATCAAAATTATTCACCAATACCCAACAAAAAATAATTAAAAAAAAATCTAGGATCTTGCTAATTGTCTAAATTTAGAGAATTCTGTTTTGTCTCCACAAAAGAAATCTAGGAATATGAAAAAAATACATGCACACATCACACACACTGATTTAAATTCCCATCACAACAAAACCCAGGTACCAAGTAAATTTTGCTCTTAAATCTTTGATTTATTCATGATTTTCACTATTATTGGTTCCGCAGCATTTGTTGTTAGGGTTGAATTTAATATAATTTCTTCTAAATCTGCTCTAGGCAGAGATGGAAAAGTAGATGGTAATACTATTCTTGCAGTAACTGTTCAAGTAAATAGTCAATTATTAAGATATTGTTCAGTCATTTTTCCAGACATCTCCAAATCCTTTAACATTTTTCTATAAGACTCATTTGCTAAATTTTAATTATGTTGCTCTTGCCTATGTTCATTCCAGTTTATGTATGTCTTAAGACAGGGGCACTTGAATTCAACCACAACTTTTCAATAAATGCTTGACTAACCCTAAGTATGGCAAAATTATTATTTTTAATATATTGATCAACAATGCAGTGTGTGTTTAAAAGTGTTTCATCAAGTAGTTCAAAGAAATACAAATTACTGCCAATATCATGAAACATATTTTTTATTTTAATTTGAACTCTGTCCTATAGAGTTGCAGTAAGTCAGAATCAACTTGACAGCAACAGGTTTATTATCTATAAGAGGGCTAAAGACTGTAAAGGCATGAAGATCTTTTTTTTTTCATTCTGTAAAATTATAATGTAGTATTAAAATTAACATATTTTACTGAACATCTACTACTACTACTACTTTGGCTACAGTTCTGTCAAGAAAACAATCCATTTTCCACATCCAGATGTTTACATGGTTTCACTGTATCTCACTGGTATGAAAATGAAAAAACACTTGAGAAAAAATTATTACAGGCAAGACCATTAAAAAAAGGAGGCAACTTTATCCTTTCTATTAAAAACAGACATACGTATGAGTAGGTGTGCAGGGAAGAGTTAACAGAAGGCCTAACTGCTTATCCTTAAAAAGCCCTACTTGCACAGTTGGCCCTTGGCAGGTATCTGGGAACTTGAATTTTAGAAGGGATTCCTCTAGTCCCAGAACTGATAAGAGAGGCTCACTGGGCCTAAACTCCTTATATAAACAATGTGGTTTATGCTAAACATCTGCTTTCCTTCTGGGAGTCTGGAATTTTGGCATGTGCTAGACAGACAGTGCCTGTGTGACCAGGCCCCAGAAAAAACCTAGGGTATTGAGTCTCTAAACGCACTTCCATGGTTGGTAACACTTCACCTATGTTGTCACAACTCATTGCTGGGAGAATTAAGGGCATCCTATGTGACTTCACTGCGAAAGGATCCTTGAAGGCTTCCTCCTGGTTTACCCCAGAGACTTTGCCTCATGGACCTTTTCCCTTTGCTGATTGTACTTGGTATTTTTTCACTGTAATATATCATACCCATGAGTACTGTATGCCGAGTCCTGTTGTCCTAATGATAAGGAACCTGAGGGTCATCTGGAGGACCTCCTACACAGCATGTATTGTAGGAAACAGCTTATTTTTCTAATTGCTTTGAAACAGGAAATGTATATTCATACAAATCAATATTGATTTGTACCTATAAATTCTGCAGTTATAAGCTAAAGCAATCTTAATTAGCATTTTTGATACAATTTTTATATTTTAGTATTTTAAAATCAATCCTTAAATAATAATCAGTGAAACTTTGTTTACATATTGATCTATTTATATAAAGAAAACAATTAAAACAATTCCTAAACTTAAACTGAAGAAAAAAAGAATTACGTTTATAATTAATGTTTTATCACAGACCAAAGGGATCAATTCTCTTGTTTTATTTATTAATAAAGGTACCATTTGGTGAGCTTCTTCCATCCTCCACCCCAGCCCTCTTTAAAAATAAATGGGCTCTTACCTTGAAATGCTCCTGCTTCAATAACTCCCTCTTTGGTACTGTCAAAGCCATGAGATGTAATCTGTGTTTCTGAGAGACCAAGGCCAGCTGGTAATGAACGTTTCAAATCCTTAGCATTCGAATAAAAGAGAAAATTCTTGTAAAAAATCCCACATCACATAACAGTTCAGTATAATTGTGTCCTTTTAATCACGTTAAAGTATTTTCTCTCTACTATGTAGTATTCGCTTATGTTGTCATGACACTCAATAATAATGAATAATCAGCAGCAAATACATCAAGATTTGCCATTTAGAGGTACAACAGTTAAGAGGTTGGCTGTTAACTGAAAGGTCAGCGGTTCGAATCCAGCCGTTCGAAACCACCAGCCACTCTGTGGGAGAAAGATGTGGCAGTCTGCTTCTGCAAAGATTTACAGCCTTGGAAACTCTATGGGGCAGTTCTATTCTGTCCTATAGGGTCGCTATGAGTCGGAATCGACTTGACTGCAACTGGCTGTACATCAAGGAAGGAGCCCTAGTGGTGCAGTGGTTAAGCACTCAGCTGCTAACCAAAAGGTCTGCAGTTCAAACCCACCAGCTGCTCCGCAGGAGAAAAGATGTGGCAGTCTGCTTCCATAAAAAGATTTCAGCCTTGGAAACTCTATGGGGCAGTTCTACTCTGTTCTCTAGGGTTGCTATGAGTCGGCACTGACTCGACAGCAATGGGTTTGGGTGTTTTTTTGGTTAAGAGATCGGCTGCTAACCAAAGGGTCAGCAGTTTGAATCTGCCAGCTGCTCCTTGGAAACCTTATGGGGCGGTTCTACTCTGCCCTATAGAGTTGCTATGAGTTGGAATCGACTTGACAGCATCTAACAACAACAACATTAAAAAACTGACTGGCATCAAATATAATCTTGATCAGTCTAATGGTCAGTATAAACAAGTCATTTACTTGCAATGCTAATTAGCCTTCGATTTCAAGGTTAGCTAGGTAAACTGGATTTCACTGACTCCAATTAGAGTAAGATAAAGAAAATTTCCTTCTATTTAGAGTCCTTCTAATACAGATTTATATTAAACAGCAGTTAATCAATCTACCTGCAAATTAGCTTATAACCAAACCTTAACTGTAATAAATGTAATATTCACCATTGAGATTTATACTTTAAGAAGACTAGGCCAAGAAGCACAATGTTCTCTAAAAAGAACAAGCCAAGTTCATATATAGTCTAAAAAAATTTTCCCCAGAAAATTTTTTTTCATTCTCAAGGCTTAGTGATGATTAGGGAAATAGGCAAAGCAAAATGATCTAAAAGAACCAAAGCTAGCTCTATGAGATGAAAATTCATGAATAATGCAGACTTAAAACTGACCTATCCACACAACTAGGGCTTCAAAAAAATTAAACTGATATGAAGTAAAACAATACATCTAAAATAAAATCACTTTTCTATTTATCTTTATTAATGGAAACTGTAAGGCTATGACAAGTTACAAGTAAATACAGCTAATAATTAAGCTAAATTTTTAGACTGATGATAGTTTGAGATATCAGATTTTAGATCATCAAGGGTATACGTGTTATATACCTTTACTAAATTCATCATACCTCTTTTAATGTAATGGTAAAGCACAGAGCCTAACAGCAGGGCTACAGGCTATTTCTCCATGGGGAGTTACACTTTTTACCTAGGACAAGATATACACATCTTAATCAGTAATTGAAGGCAACACATAATCAGACAGGAAAGTACATAAGCACTTCATTAAAAAGTTAGAAATACCAAACGATCCAGCAATCCCACTCCCAGGAATATACCCGAGAGAAACAAGAGCCATCATATGAACAGACATATGCACACCCATCTTCACTGCAGCACTATTCACAATAGGAAAAAGACAGAAATAACCTAAATGCCCATCAACAGATGAAAGGATAAACAAATTATGGTACATACACACAACAGAATACTAAGGAACAATAAAGAATAACGATGAATTCGTGAAACATCTCACAACATGAATGAATCTGGAAGGTATTATGTGGAGTGAAATAAGTCAGTCACAAAAGGACAAATATTGCATGAGACAACTATTATGAGAACTCAAGAAAAAGTTTACACACAGAAAAAATGCATTCTTTGATGGTTACAAGGGTGGGGAAGGAGAAGGAGGGGATATCCCTAACTAGATAGAAGACAAGGGTCAACTTCGGTGAAGGGAAGGACAACACATAATACAAGGGAAGTCAGCAAAACTGGACCAAAGCAAAAAGCAAAGAAGTTTCCCAGACATAGCCAAAAATTCTGAGGGACAGAGTAGCTGGGGCTGGGACCATAGTTTCAGGGGACATCTAGGTCAACTGGCATAATATAGTTTATAAAGAAAATGTTCTACATCCCACTTTGGTGAGTAGCGTCTGGGGTCTTAAAAGCTTGTGAGCAGCCATCAAGACACATCTATTGGTCCCATCTCACTCGAAGCAAAGGAGAATGAAGAAAACCAAAGACACCAGGAAAATACTAGCCCAAAGGACTAAAGAACCAAATGAACCAGAGACTCCACCAGCCTGAGGCCAGAAGAAAAAGGTGGTGCCCAGCTACCACCAATGACTGCCCTGAAAGGAAACACAACAGAGAGTCCCAGATGGAGCAGGAGAAAAATGTAAAACAGAATTCAAATTCACGTAAAAAGACCAGACTTAATGGTCTGACAGAGACTGAAGGAACCCTCAAACTATGGCCCCTGGACACTGTTGACCCAGAACTGAAACCATTCCCAAAGCCCACTCTTCAGACAAAAATTAGGCAGGCTTATAACACAAAAAATAATACACGTGAGGAATATGCTTCTTAGTTCAATCAAATATACAAGCTGCTATCCAAAAAGCTGGACCAGAAGGCAGGCAGGGACAGAAACTGGGACACGGGGAACCCGGGGTGGAAAGAGGGAGTGTGCTGCCAGAAGAACGAGTACATCTGTTTTGGAAGAAAACAAAACTAGATGTATATAAATTTTTGAATGAGAAATTAACATGAGCTGTAAACTTTCACCTAAAGCACAATTAAAAAAAAAAAAAAGGAAAGTATGTAAGAATGTATAACGTAGTTAAGAATTCAGAAGAGGGAATCATCAGTGTGCATTAAATAGAAGAAAAATCTTAAAGGAAGAGATGGATCCTAAGCGGCACCAATGACCAACATGGAAGATATGGAATGACGAAAAAATAGAATGAGGGTGAGGGGAGATGCATTCTCAACCTAATACAAATACTTGGGTGGGGTGGGGGAGGCCCTAGGAAATCATTAGCATGTTATTAGCATAGCATGGAGATCAACAACTAGGCTGCCATGGCCAAAGCAGCTAAGGGTCTATGTAGACAGATGGCGTCAAATTAATTAGGAGGCCAGATGACAAAATGTTAAGGTCCAGGGAATCTGGTCTGCACTGAATTCGAAACTTTTAAGTTTTGAAGAGGAGACCTCCATGACTTGGTTAAAGGACTATTTTAAGAATGTTAATTTGGCAGACACGTGAGAACAGCTTGGAAAGGTTAAAAATTGAAGGCAAGATCAATCATAAGATGCCACTTTATCTTAGGTATTCCATACACACTGCCTAGGAGCAGAGGCCAAAACAATGGAAAGGATGAAATTTATGAATAATTAAAAGAATAATAAAATATAAAAATGTAACAAAATTTCAGAGTACAGCCATGTGTTATAACACATGTATTCATAACAATGAAGTGGAATAGCTAAATAATATATACAACTGAACTAAGACGATACTGTTGTTGTTAAGCGCTGTCTAGGCGGTTCCAACTTATAGCAACCCTGTACAACAGAACAAAACACTGCCTGGTCCCGTGCCACCCTCACAATCATTGTTATGTTTAAGCCCATTGTTGCAGCCACTGTGTCAGTCCATCTAGCTGAGGGTCTTCCTCTTTTTCACTGACCCTCTTTTTTACCAAGCATGATGTCCTTTTCCAGGGACTGATACCTCCCAATAACATGTCCAAAGTACGTCAGACAAAATCTTGCCATCCTCCCTTCTAAGGAGGATTCTGGCTGTCTTCTTCCAAAACAGATGTGCTCGTTCTTCTGGCAGTCCATGGTATATTCAATATTCTCCGCCAACACCATAAGTCAAAGGCGTGAATTCTTCTTCGGTCTTTCTTATTCACTGTCCAGCTTTCGCATGCATATGAGGCAAATGACAATACCATGGCTTGGGTCAGGTGCACCTTAGTCCTCAAGGTGACATCTTTGATTTTTAACACTTTAAAAACGACAAACTGACAGACTAGTGGTGGAAGGGGGTCCAACAGAAGTTAATTTCCATATAAGAGGCCCTTACAGAAGTTAATTTCTATAATCACAAAACAGGATATGAAAAAGTTATTTAAATGACAAGTCAAGAAGACTTGATTTTAAATTATTTCTACTCTGCCACTGGAGTAAAAAACAAAAAAATTGTAGGACAGGTTAAGTAACATTTATGCTGTTTGATATAATTTTAACACATTATTTTGGAATGTTTACTGAAAAAGTCTCTGTCTGGAATCTACTGTTTTTCTACCCTAAAACTCACCCATGATGTTTTTCTTGATCAATGTATTGAATTTCAGCAATACATGATTAACTTATTTCCCTAAAATTTTTACTAATATCAACGTGGACCATTCCAACTTACACAAAATGGCAGAAATACAGTAAGAACGACTAGGTTTATTATGCCTATACTTCTGGGAAAAGGCATACGTTGTATATGAAAATAGTTATGTCATTTGAGAGCTGATACAAAACACTTTCTGAAAATGAACAGGACCTTCTAAGGTAACTAAGCATGGACTCCATGTTCTTCTCTACTTTGAGATAACTTTTGGAGGAACCTCTGGGATTATATTAAGATTGGGTACCCAGTTCCAAAAATTGCTACATCACTATTATTAAACTTTCTCAGTTTAACTATACACATTTATAGGTATACATGATTTCGAATTAAATACATAAAAACCAAACCCGTTGCCGTCAAGTCGATTCCGACTCATGAACTAAAATAATCCCCATTTCAGGACATCCTTAAGTTTTGATTGCTTAAAACTATTCTTAGATACTGTTA